TCTTATCAATAGCATACTGAGGAAAAAAAGTTAGATTAAAACTACTAGAAACTGCTAAAACTACTATCACCGTGTTTCTTACTCGATGGGAACACCCTGCTCGATGGTTTTTCTGCAGCGATTTCATATAACTTTTTGCAAAATTAGTAATTAAATATGGCTTTACAGTTCGTGATTAAATTAAGTAAAATTGATTAATTTTATCTTGATATCATAGAGTTTCACTTGTTCACTTGAAAAAACCATTTATTTGGTTGAATTTACTTTTCCAATTTTTTCCTAATTGTGTAGTAACTATAATTGTGTAGAAATTTTGAAAAACCTAATTTCTGGTAAACCAATGCCATATGAACATATGAAAGGAAAAATTACCACAAGAATGATTTAAATACCATATATTTTGGTTTTAGTACTATAGGTACTATATTTAGTGCTTTAGTACTATATTTGGTTTTAGTACTAGTTTGGTTTTAGTACTAGTTTAGTTTTAGTGCTAGTTTGGCTTTAGTACTAACATGTTTTCTTTTTTTTTTACCTGAAATGTCATAACCATAGAGTACTGTAATCTTACCTTAACTTTTTTTTCCTTGCAGCAGGCGTAGGTATTCAATATTTCATCAATCATTATTAATAAATACACATTGAAAAAGAATTTTATAATTATTTTACATTTTAAATTTTTATTGATCGAAGTTTACATCTGTATAAACATATTCTGTCTCAAAATAATACAATAAAAAATTTAAAGTGCAGGAGAACATAATTTTGAATATTTAAAATAATAATTCACGTAATTTTCTACAAAGAAAACAATGATTAAAAACTTGAGTCTACATGATTTGCCTTAAAGTACATTCATAAGCATTTTGATGTAATATTGTTGCAGAGAATTGTGTTTGAGTGCTTGCAGCAATTAGAAATAGATCATAAATCATTTTAAATCACGCAATCGAATATGAGTTTAGGAATAACAGATATGAGATGATCAACGTTCTAAAGTTGATTATTCGAAAACAAAGTTGCTCGATTTCTTTCATTTAATGATATGGAAATATTTAAATTAAGGAAGGGGAAGTAGAAATGATTGATGAAGACATTAATGCTTGTGAAACCAAATATTCACAATTCTTAAAAAAAATAATAATTCCTCTTCATCAGTTTGTAATTACTTAAAATATTTTTTTCGGTTTAATATTTGGACTTACTTTTATCTCTCTCTCTCTCTCTCTCTCTCTCTCTATATATATATAT